ACTGCAGAAGAGCCAAAAACTTTGAAGCCACAGGAGAAAGGAGAGAAGTTGGGTGTGAATCAGAAAATACATATTTTTATAATTCTAAAATTTCATTTTTGTCCTTAAATCAACATACGACGGATTTCACTGTTTGTTCAATAAATGATCATCTTTGTTAACTAAAAGTTGGAAGTACACAATCCATCCCTACCCAAAAGAACAAACTGAAAACTTGGAACAACTAAGAATTTTTTTTTTTAGGGGGTAGGGGGATATTACTTTTCTTGAAATTTTGGAGAAAAACCTGAACATCCTTTGCGTAGAGTTAATGACCCCTTCTTTCTCACCCCCAACTGCAGGCATATTCTTCTTCCGCAGAGCTTTCACATCTCAGGCGGCGGTGAGATTTCTAATGCGTTATGGACCTCAAGGCAGCAAACCAACTGACAAGAAGTCAATTTAGGCTACTGTACTCTGCTCGGCCCCCTGTGAGTCAGGGATGGCTCAAAGAACCTTGGGAAAGCCTTTTCTGCTGACCACACCACCTTCAGATGATCCTTAGATACAGTGGTACTTCCTAGGGGATCTTAAGCAGCAATGTTACACCACAGCGGAAAATAAAAGGAAAAGCAATCCAACTAACCCCCCTCACTTCCAAAAAAGTTAATCCTTCATTAGTGCCTTCCAGGGACCACTGGAGCTATAATTCACGGAGGAGTATATGGCAGAGTTCTATTTGATGTTAACAAATTCTAATCATGTTTCTCAGTTGTCATATCTGCCTAAAAATGGTATATTGGGAACTGAACTGCCAAATCAGGACTCTGACGGAACATGAAAACAAAGTGGCTCTGACTGCCTATCCATGAAAGGCATGACTGTGAGCAAAAGAACTTTATACTGAGGTCAAAGACTGAAAACAAGTGAACTGATACAATATTGTGAAGATGAACCATACTGCTAGCTCTTCTGTGTGTGTATGAACATGCATGTCAGTTCATACACACATTATAAACTTTTTTTCCTGCTAAGAAGACCTGAGGCAGTTCTGCTGTACTAAAGTTGGCTATAATACCCAAGACAAAACAGCTCCTACTGGACAGATTATGAGCATATTGCTACGTTCTAAGCATCAAAGCTGTCATAAGGCTATGGAGCACAGGTCGCATTTCCTGATGGGGATGTTCTCAACACAAGAATTCCACTTCGAGAGAGGCCGCCCCTCTTCCTCCCACATGAACAACAACAAAAGCCAACAAGATGGCCACGGAAACTTGGATAGAATCTATTTCCCTGTCAAGACATTTCTGAACAGCATCAACATTCATGGGGAAGAAATCAGGACTCGAGCGTGAAGAGCACTGGTAAAGGTCGAAGGAGACAAACGGTCTGATGTGCGCAGACAATACATGGCTGGCGGGGTGAAGGCGCCCCCCACCAAGCGCCGTTAGAATACCTGCTGTCAGAAGGAGAGGAGGAATACAGTTTAGTTGATGAATATAAGGAACCGAGCAAAGCGCATGAAGACAATGGGCAATGAACGTGGCACGTCTAAGCAACAAGGCACGAAGTCAGAGTGGAAGATCGCTCTGTGCTCGGGTCCGCAGGCTGCTTAGACCACATGAAGGCAGGTTTGAAGCACAGTGAAGATTGTCTTGTGTTATTTTATATCTCACCATCAACCCACCTTATCCTTGGACCAGGAGGGTCTCTCTCATACTGAATAAATGCTCAAAGTATTTAGGTAACTTAAAAAAAAAAAAAAAGATCTTAAAGGTATTATTTGGATAGCTTTTGGCAGAGGCAGAGAAACAAACGGGGTATGTATATGTGTGTGTATAGTGTGTGTTATCTATCCATCTGTCCACAGATAGATACACCTCTTTTACTCAACTTTAACTAGCAGGAGGGTGGCTGCTTGTTTTTCACCTTCAAAGCCTTAGCTTTGATGAAAATGACAATAAAGGCACAAATTACGTGAATTTGAAATACTTTTAACAAAGGAGAAAAATCTGACAATGTTTAAAAAGACAGATGAACAGAGCAAAATGAGATAATGGTTTAAGGTTAAAAAAAAAAAACAAAATTAAGTATTAAACAATTTGAAAATATATATTTAGAATACAGAATAAGTACATTTAGCTTCCAAGAAAAATTAGGCCAATTTCCTTCTGGCAAGCAGGTCCTGAGAGAGAAAGCAGGTAACCCTCACTAGACTGAGCCCAACTGGAGGGCAAGCACCACATCCGGTTTGTCTTTGTCTTACTCAACATCTGTCACAGTGGCTGGGTTAAGAATCATCATGAGTAACAGTTTATTGAATGCATGTGTACCATAACGTCCTACTGGTGGAGTTCAAACCTGAAGGGCAACTTCTTTAAAACAGGGTAAGAAAAGAGTACATCCAGCTGTCTTCCAAAAGGTTGGACTAAATCCGGTTATATTTCCTAGTTTTAACCAATTTAAAGTTTCCAAATTTCTTTTTTAAAAAAACCAATACCTTCCTTTTCTCAAAGGAAATCTTAGGTGGAACTCCAATATAAAGTTAAAATGAAGCTATCACTGGTTAGACCAAAGTTGTGGTCACCAGTCTCCAACCCACTACACCATCCGTAAAGTATATCATGAAACCCAGTCTGGAAACCACCAGTGATAATAGAAATGTCAGAGAAAGCCTGGTCATTGAGTTCTCATGTCACTTACCGAGAAAATTACCAGTACTGTCAAGGATAAATTCTAAGTAACGTTGCTAGCTTAAATAAAGACCAAGTTCAACAGAGGGAAGACTCTATCACTCAAAGGAGTGAAAACCACCCTCACAAGGTGGGTGGGGTGGGGAGAGATACGACAAAAATTAGGCCATGGCAGACAAAATAGAATGCAAAAACAGCATCTCATTAAAAAGCAAATAAACATATTTACACAAATGTAATCACCACCATGAAGCCAACTGCTCCACAGGGTTTCCAAGGAGTCCCAGTTTCATAATGTACAAAAAAAAAAATCCCACCAAAATGTAGAGATGTACTCCATATTGAAATGTCACAGTCAGCACCACTTCGCTTGACGTAATCAATGTGAGAGTAACTGCCATGACCTTGTACCACTTTCAGAGTTGTTTCTTGTACCCAGAACTGTTCCCTAACATCACTACAAGTTCTCAAATAAGCAGAAATTCCCAGAGAGGCGGCTGAGGCTGCAATGGCTATCTCCAGCAGGTCTGATGGTGGCAGGACCTGGGACTCTAACGCCAAGACCGGCAGCATGAGTAGTTATGCATGGACGGCAGCCGGGAACCAGGGAGAAAAGCAGTCTGTCACTGTAACGGTGAAAGAAGGGGTTGATAAATTAAGTGGTATCAGCCTGGTACAGATAACAAATTGTTCCAGAAAGGGTTAGAGGAAAAAGAAGAATTAGTGAGAATGACACATGAAGCCGTGTATCACAAAATAAGGCCACCTTCAACATATTATAAATGACAGACCATTCTGATCTTCAAAGTTGGATCTGGGTGGAGGTTTCTGTATAAAGCTTTAATGTCTAACAAGTGGGTTTCCTTTAAAATGAGCCTTTGCATTTGCTGCTGTTCTCTTTGCCAGGAAGGTCTCTCTCTCCTGGGTCTTCCCACAGCTTGCTCCTTCTCATCAGCCGTTAGCGCAAGTATCACGTCCTCTGAGAGGCCTTCTCCAACGCTGCTATCAGAAGCATTCCTGTTATGCTTGATCACAGTACCCTGTCTATCTCCTTCACAGAGAAATAAGGTGATAAGGGCTATAGTAACTGCTGTCTCAGCAAAGGCAAGGGCCGTATCTGTGTCCTTCAATTTCTCCCAAAGGCTAAGAAAGTTCCTGGCACATAACAGGTGAACAATAAATATTTTTTGAATGAGTAAAAAATCAGTCAAATTTATATGAACAAATATATAAACATACAAATACAAGAAAACGGGCAGTATCCAACTGAAAACCACCAAATGCTTAAAATACTAAAAACACCACCTGTATAGACAAGTGAGTATGGTTTCAAAGAACAAGTACCAAAGATACCTATCTTCAAAGTATGAAAATTTACTAAAGGGGGATCAGGAGTGGTTAGTTTCCATTTCTACTGAGATGAAAACAATAGCAAAAAAATGTGTCAATTGCAATGAGTTAAAGTTAGACTTAAGGACTATCTGCTGCATAATGGACTACTTACAGAGTTTCAGGAACCCTCTCTCACTGCCAAACGTGAAATACAGTTGGTGCCATAGTCAGCCACATACACAGTTATAAACTGGCTTAAGACCAGCTCAGACTGTAGGTAATTCTAAGCTGAAAAGCTTGCTAAACTGCTTCTCCTCCAATTTTTAAATTCTAAGTTCATAATTATGTAAAATAACAAAAACTGTATAAATTGAATACAACATATTTTAAAAATAGATGGCCCTCATCTGTTGATCATGCTTCAGCATTACTTTCCTAACTTGTATTTTGCAGAAGCAATTACATTTACGAAAGATCCATTTCATAATACAATCTGGTAGATAAATCAAATGAAACTACTCAAGTAAGAGCACATGGTCTGCTGCTGAAATACCTTCTAAAAAGGGTATTTAAATTTCTCAAAGGGCTCTCTGAAAAAAAGGGTTAGTGTACTGAAATAATTTGAGCACATCCCTGAAAGCATACTGCCAGCTGTGCATTTTGTAATAAGGTGTAAGGATGAGTCGATAGACTGCTGAGGTCTACACAAGTCAATTATCATCTGTTAAAATTTGATTGTAAGACAAGGAGGATGACTTCATATGAACTTCTACCGTACCCCAGAATTAGCCCGTGCCAGCAGTACCAGTGAGAGCATTACTGGCAAGGGATGGATGCCATGTTACGCTGTTTTGGTATCAGGAGTGGGAACAGAAATGAGGCTAGGGAAGATTTCTGATATGGTTTCCATGAGATCGAGCAGTAAACAAACCCAAGAAGGATGGATGTTTAAGCCCCACTGAACACATTAAGGTCAAGGATTTCAAAAGTTAATCCACTTTTCTTCCCCCACTAATTTATTTTTGGTAAAAGGCAGGAAATTTAACTTTTCTACAAGGAAAATCTGCTTCTAAATGATAATCTGAAAATCTTGATATATATTATATATTAAAAAAAGACACAAAAGTAACGGAGAAGTGAGAGTAACAGACCAGGTACTGTAACATTAGAAAGGCTTACCTAAAACAAGAAGCAGCACACACACTCCTAATTTATGCCAACTAAAAAATGTATAGAAACAGCACAATACTGTGATACTGGATCATGATACATTCCCTGTACACATAACTACTACTGTTATTAATAAACCTTTGGGACACTCCATTTTATGCCCAAGAAGACATCATTAAGTCTTTAAAATCTTCTTTTCCTCCTTTACGGTAGGGTACTTCTAGACACTAATTTTCCCATCTAATATTCGAATATAGGAAAGAGATTCCACAAGGTGCTTTAAACTGATGAGACCTCAAGTGCTGTTTTCTCTCTTGAATGTTTGGATAGTAAACAGTCCATGGGGACCACACACAAATACTATGACAGAAGAGTTGTTACATTAAGTCTTTTGATGGGACTTGACTGGTGATGACGCTTTATGACATGCTTGAGCAACGCACTGAAGGGGATCCCATCTGAGTTAATACTTTGTCCAACCACTGTAGAGGTCCGTTCAGGTGCAGTTCAATCCAGCAAGGGGTACTTGTTACCGTCTGCCTTCTGTTTAAAAGAATGTAAGAAAATAATTGTGAAATTAAAAGAACTTAGGGTTATGTCTAAGTGCATGAATTAAGAGAACTGAGGAAAACTAAGATGTCATGTATATTAGAACCTAAATTCACTTGAACAAGCGTTAAGTGTGCATATTTGATTATTATTTTGAAAACAATCCGATTCTCAAAGCAAAACAATGTACTTCCAGTCAGAAGAGATTTATAAAAACATCCTTTCCCTCTAAAGTTAAAATGTATTAGTTGTTATTGTTAGCTGCCATCAACTCGGCCCCCAACTCACAACGACCGCGTGCACAACACAACTGGATCGCTGTGACCCACAACGTTCTCACTGGTGGATTTTCGGGAAGTAGATCACTAGACCTTCCTTCCTAGTCTGTTTCAGTCTGGAAACTCCACTGAAACCTGGTCAGTGTTAGAGCAACACACAGCCTCCACACAGAGAGGTGCTGGCTGTGCTTGGGGTGCTCTGACTGGAAACTGAACCCGAGTCACCCACATGGAAGTGGAGGACTCTGCCACTGAACCAGTATTGCCCCAAATTTATCTGTAAGGTGACCTCATTATTTACTATACAAAATGGGACACTTTTCAGAAAGAATGCAGGCACTCTTAATAAGCAAGCCAGAACAAAAGATGTCAACCAGGACTGCCTCTGGCAAACAGGGACATATGGTCACCTTATTTTTATTATCAGTCAACCACAGTATAGTAGATACTCAAATATCAAACAAAGTCTAAATGAAACAGAAGTCCATGTTAAAAGTATAACAAAAACGAATTTTGACCCAAGCTCAATGCTTATCACAGAATGCCGAGCCCAACTGTCACCCAAAAAACTTACGGGTGATGACCCTGTCAGCAGACACCATTCAGTTCTTGAACAAAGTGGGATACTCTCTGGGAATCACTAATTATTCAATGACATCCTGTCACTTCCACATACTGATTTCAGTTGTCTTATTGGCCATATAGAATTAAACCTGTTTACTTCTTCAACATGACAGTTCTTCAAACATGAGAAAGTCAATGTCATTATTAACTCTTCATTTGTAAGCAACAGATGCCCAATATTTTTAAGTTTTAAAACTGTTTCAAAGGATGTGGTTTTTCAAAAAACAGGCATATGATCTGAACATTTACCTGAGGTAGATACACTCCTGGGAGAGATCAGTCAGGGGAGAAAAAAGGGCTGTGCATGCAAACGGAGACAGCTCGGGGGGCAGGAGTGCATGGGAGGGAAGGACACAGGGAAGAGGTAACCATGGTGAGGAAGTGGGAAGGGAGCTGCTGCATTATGGGAAATTGCAGTCAATGCCATGAGACAAAGTGTATGTGAGCTGCTGTATGGAAAGTGAATTTGCTCTGTAAACTTACACCCAAATCCCAATAATAATAAAAAAAAAGATGTGGTTTTCTGCAGCGGATGGTGATGGTGCCCCTCTTAACACACTTCGGCTTTATCTGTGTACTCTAGGCAACTTCCAACTGCAGGGATCTGAATTTCTGGGCCTGAGATCTTCAGTGCTCTGTCCACATGCATAGCAAGCTGGATGTGCCAGAGAATTAACATCTCAAGAGCAGCCCTCAATCAATGACCTTGGAACTGGCATTACCCAGCTCACTCTTCTCCTGTGTGGGATAATTCTGTATGTTCTGCAGTATTTGCCAAAGTTTCCCTAAGGGAGTAAGCTCCCAGGGCCATCCACCATGGTGGACAGCTTAATAACACTACTGGCTGCCTTTCCTGCCTCACTTCCCCACTTCTCTTTCCTGAGCAGTGTTTCCAAAATCTCCCACACCAACTACCAGCACTTCAACCTTTGTCTCATGTCTGTTTCTAGGAAAACAGGACATACTGAAATATGATTACTCCTAAAACATGATATATGGAACACAATGTAACAGTCCTAAAGGAAGTATGACCTGTATAAATTCATATCTTATTTCAACTTAGGCACAGTGACTAAGGCACTTGACTGCTAACCAGAAGGCTGGCGGTTCAAACCCACCTTGGAAGGAAGGAAACACTCCTTGGAAGGAAGGTTGGGCAATCTACTTCCGTAGTGATACTGCCTCGGCAACCCAAGGAGGGGATGCTATGAGTCGGGTCCAACTCGACAACACGTAACAACAACAACATGCAGCTGAAAATGATACTAGCACACTTCATATGTCGATTCATATTATCCCTGAGGTACAGACAAGACTAACCTTTCTCATCTCCCTTCGGTTCTCTCAGCCACTCTGGTCGTCACATAAAAATTCTCCTGCTTCTGTCTTTTCCTTAGACCATGCCTTCTTCAGTAATCATACCAAGATCTTTTTTAATTCTGACTTTAATTCTGGATTCTGGGTATTTCCCAATCAGATCACTATTCCTGGATTAGTTCAACAATCAGGATAATTCCTAATTCAGGTCACTATAGAAAAGGAGGTTGTTCCTACTCTTATTTGGGCAAAGATTTGTACCCGAGGGATGATCCACCTCCACCTTGTTGACTCACTCAGGTACTGGTTCACTTAGATGTACTTCTCAACTAAATGAGAGTTCTTCACACATCTCCCTTTCCTGTTTACCATGATACATTTCCTGCTTTTTATGCTGATACTCAAACTGGCATTAAGGCAACTAAAAAACAGTTTTAGAAAGCTAACCATTAGGTCTATTTTCTCAGCTCCAGTGCCACTAAGGATAGAATATTTATGTAGCTACCCACAGTTCACAGATATATGGGTATCTGATGTTATTTTGATTTACAAACATTCAAAAAAATAATTACCCAAAGTCAGATAAACTTGACTCCAAACACTCATAAAAAACATACTGTACACATTACTGTTTCTCATGATTACAGATTTCTCTCTGAGCTAAAGAATGGTAGAGTCCACACTGAATGAACCAGAGTACCTCCTCCACCAATTAAAACTGGTCTTAAGAACAAAGTAGGAGGTCTCACACTGCCAGATCTCAAAACCTACTATACAGCCACAGTAGTCAAAACTGCCTGGTATTGGTATAATGACAGGCACATAGACCAATGGAATAGAATTGAGAACCCAGAAATAGATCCACTGACCCATGATCAGCTGATCTTTGACAAAGGGCATTGAAATCCATTAGATGGGGAAGAGAATGTTTGTTTAATAAATGGTGCTGGCAAAACTGGAGATCCATTTGCAGAAAAATGAAACAAGACCTGCACCTCACACCATACACAAAAACTAACTGCTGATGGATTGAAGACTTAAATGTGAAACTTAAAACTATACAGTTCCTCAAGGAAAAACTAGGGGCAAATTTAGAGGCCCTAATACATGGCATAAATAGACTATCAAGTAAAACCCAAAATGTACAAACAGCAGAAGAGAAACTAGATGAATGGGACCTTCCAAAAATTAAATTTTTATGTGCTTCCAAAGACTTCTGCAAAAGAGTCAAAAGAAAACCTACAAATCGGGAAAAAAATATTTGGCAATAACATATCTGACAAGGGACATATCTCTAGAATTTATGGAAAACTCCAACACCTCGATAACAACAAAAAAAATAATCCAATTAAAAAATGGGCAGAAGACATGAATAGACACTTCTACAAGGAGGATATTCAGGCAGCCAACAAACATGAAAAAATGCTCAAGATCATTAGCCATTAGAGAGATGCAAATCAAAACAACAATGAGATACCATCTTGCTCCAGCACTAGTAGCAAAGTTCAACAAGACACAAAATAACAAATGCTGGTGAGGATGTGGAGAGATTGGGACTCTCATACACTGCTGGTGGGACTGTAAAATGGTACAACCACTGTGGAAAGCAGTATGGCAACTCCTTAAAAAGTTGAAAATAGAAATAACATATGACCCAGCCATTCCATTACTAGCTATATATCCTAAAGTGATAGCCAGAACAAGAACACACATGCACACCCATGTTCACCGCAGCACTATTTACAATAGCCAAAAGATGGAAACAACTTAGGTGCCCATCAACTGAGGAATGGATAACCCAACTTTGGTACATACACACAATGGAATACTATGCAACCCTAAAGAATAACCTAGAATCTGCAGACCACCACATAACTTGGATGAACTTGGAGGACATTGTGCTGAGTGAAATAAGTCAATCACATAAGGACAAATATTGTATTAGTTCGTTATTGTAAAAATCAAGGAAAGGTTTATCTATGGAAGGAAATTTGCTTTGCTGGTTACCAGGGGTGGGAGGGAAGAGGAGGGAACACTGTTAGATAGGTAGAGGTAAGTATTGATATGGGTGAAGAGAAGGGCAATGTCCAAATGTGAGTGATCAACATGGTGGCACTGAGGAAGAGGAAGACATAGAGGTACATGGGAGGTACAGACAACAAAGATGAACCTTTTTACACATACAGTACTACATTGTCAGTGAAAGCAAACATGGGTATATGGGTGGATAGATGGGTGGACAGGATGAACTATTAGGTATGTCTGTGAAGTGGGGAGTGTACCCAAGATCATGTATAGGGTTGGCAGACAATGGTCCTATAAGTTTATGTGAATGATCAGAATTTCCAGGTGTATAGTAGAACTGACAAGGGACAAGGTTGTAGTCACTGCTTGGTCACAGCCAGCTACCTAGAGGGACCGAGGAGTTGAACCTGTGGGCTTGGGACCATAGTCACAGGGGACATCAAGCTCAACTGCCATAACACGCTACACAAAACATTATTCTAACTCCTACTTTGGCGAGGAGTGACTGGGATCTTAAAAGCCTGCAAGCAGCCATCTAGATGCAACGATGGGTCTTTCCTATCCAGAGCAAAGAAGAATGAAGAAAACCAAAGATTCATGGAAACAATTAGTCCTAGTGACTGGTACACCATGAGATCTGCAGCCTATACGACCATGAGACCAGAAGAACTAGATGGTGCCCAGCTACCAATGTCAACCAGTCGGACGGGGATCTATTTGCGGATAGAGAGGGAGAACAATGTGGAACAAAATTCAAAAGCATGTGGGGAAAAAAAAGGGGGACCAGGTTTGCTGGTCTGATAGCCTGGTGAAACCACTGAGACTATCTATGGCCCCTAACTGTCCTTCAGATCTAGAATTAAACTCACACCTGTGGCTTCCAGCCAAGCAAAAGACAGACATAGGAGGTGAACATTTACCTGAGGTAAATACACTCCTTGAAGAGAACAATCATGGGAGAAAGAAGGGCTGTTTATGCACAGGGAGACACCTCAGGGGGCAGGGGTGCATGGAGGGATGGACACAGGGAAGAGGTGACTGTCAGGAGGAAGTGGGAGGGGAGCTGTTGCATTGTGGTGAATTATGGTCAATGTCATGAGACAAAATGTATGAGAACTGCTGTATGGAAAGTCAATTTGCTCTGTAAATTTTCACCCAAATCACAAAAAAACCCAAAAAAAAAAACCAAAAAACAAAACCTGGGCTTAGCAGAAGATCTACAGATATACATAGTGTTCTTGCTGTCCTATGTAGTTCATTTTCAACTCCACTAAATTCTACCAAATTTGCTAACAGTCTCTAATCTTTTACAACCTGTGATATGCAGATGACACAACCTTGCTTGCTGAAAGAGAAGACTTGAAACACTTACTGATGAAGATCAAAGACTACAGCCTTCAGAACAGATTACATCTTAATATAAAGAAAACAAAAATCCTCACAACTGGAGCAATGAACAGCATCATGATAAATGGAGAAAAGATTGATGTTTGTCAAATATTTCATTTTAGGTGGATCCACAACCAACACCCATGAAAGCAGCAGTCAAGAAATAAAATGGCTTACTGTGATGGGCAAATCCACTGCAAAAGACCTCTTTAAAGTGTTAAAGAGCAAGGAGATCACTCTGAAGACAAGAGGTAGTCTGACCCAAACCACTGTCTTTTCAATGACCTCATATGCATGTGAGAGCTGGACAACAAATAAGGAAGACCACAGAAGACCTCATGCATTTGAATCATGGTACTGGTGTAGGGTACGAGTACATACCACAGAAGACCAGAAGAACAAACAAATCTGTATTGAAATACAGCCAGAATGCTCCCTAGAAGAATGGCCAGATTTCGTCTCTCACATGTTGGTCACGTTATCAGGAGAGACCAGTCCCTAAAGAGAGCTATCCAGCTTGGCAAGGTCGAGGGTCAGCAGAGAAGGGAAGACCCTCAAGGAGATGCACTGACATAGTGGCTGTAACCATGGGCTTCAGCACAGCAACAATGGTGAGGATGGCACAGGACCAGGCTGCATTTCTGTTCCATTGTACACAGGGTCACTGTGAGTCTAAACTGACTTGATGGCACCTAACCGCAGCAGCAGCAATAACCTTTTAAAGAGGAAAAAAAAAAAAAAAAAAAGAGCTGACCTAAAATTCAACATTAGATAGTATCATCTGAACCTAATTTTAATATCAACGCAAGTTGAGAGGACAAAAAGGCATTCAGCAGTCATTAAAGTTAATAAATCTCAAAAGGGAAGTGATTACAAGAGAGCTACTGCAAGATCAAAATAAACTATCCTACCCATATATCTTGGACAAACAGAGCCAAGTCTTCTTTGTTGGGATCAGGTATGTAAAACACATTTTTATAAAAGTATTCAACCTACGGAACTCATATCTCACCATCTCAAAAGTCATACACCTCACCAAACTTGTTTAAGGTAGGGAATCAAATCCAAACCAAATGAACTGAATTCTGAAGAAGGGTCCAAAGTGTTGGAAGACTAGACTATTACATGAATATTTTCTCAAACAGACATCCCAAGTATTAACAATATGAGTTGGAGAAAGTATTTTACTTATAGCTCTATTCTTCCATAAAAGTGAAGCAGCCTTCCCTTGCTTTAATGAGGAGTCCAATCTGTTGTCTAATTTAGAAATAGCCTGGTCTATCTTACACACTTGATACCAAATTTGCTGCTGGAATAAAACTCAATCAGGTAATTGTTACTATAATCTTTAGAAAAGAGGTTAAGAGTCAAGAAAATGTGCTTTCCACCCTGGAAAACACATTCCACTTACAGGGTGACCTCGGGCAAATTAGGAAACTTTTCAAAGACTTTTTGTCAATAGGTATTAGTTTGGACCTTTTTTTTTTTTTTACCCACAAAGATTGCACTTTCATATCTCAAGCTTATGAAGAAAGGGTAACAATGGTAATTCACACTCCTGCTGAAAGGCATGCTATACAGCATTTAAAACAACACAGTTGTGCAGCACACAGTACATAGCCCTTTGGTTCCTCAATAAAATTCTACGTCTTAATCTGATGTTCGACTAGTCTCAATTTCTTTGTCCAGCCTTATTCTTCTCTACCTCCTACATGTTGGCAATGAACTGGCAGGACTGTCTTTTCTAAACTTCCACATCTATGTCTACTGCAATCCTATCCATCTTTTAGAACCTAGGTCATATGTGCCACCTCTACCAAGAGGCTTTACCTGAGCCCCAAATTAAAGCACCTTTCATGTGAACTGACAAAACCCTTCAAATATATCCTTTTAAGGTATTTAATACTCTGCATATAAAAGCATGCATCTGTAAATGTTTTAATTATATCGCCTGTAACATTGGCACAATATTGTGCAAAGCTCAAACAGTTTTCAATCTAAAGTCCCCCAATTTTCTTTCATTATTTTACATATGGATCTACAGAGTCAATGACATTAATGAAAGCACATGCAAGTCCACCCCAGAAGACCCCAAAGTCAAGTATTTCTTACCGGTACTCTGCTCCCCATCCTTTCACAAAGCTCATTCGGATGGTGCACATTCTAGTTAACTGGTACACGGCTTCAAAACCCTGATTGACAGACTGAGCCAGAAGAGCAGCAAACTCCTGGTTGTTGAAGATCTTGAGATTACAGCCTATGATTTAAAAAGGTACAAGAAACTGTAAAAAGAGTGTCCTAATGACAAAACAATTTTTAAAAGACTACAGATACTAGAATAAGAGCATGCAAATCATCTCCTGATTCCTAAAATTATCAGCACATAGAAAACCGAAGCAAGCTGACGTGACAAGTTTATTCACATTGTTGGATCCATACCTGGTGGAATCTTACACACTGTTGCAGGGTGCCAGCCATATCTCTGATTACAATTGGGGCTCTGCACAAAGATCGCACTATCGCTTAGGCACTCGGCAAAAACTTCCCCACCTATGTAATACAACCGCACTCCTCTTCCTAAAACAAAACACATAGGGGATTAGTTTGTTTGTTTAATGTACACTGTTTCAGTGTGACTCTGGAAGCGTCTTCAGGGTGACTACGAAAACGGCATGAGGCATTTCCATGACCTCGTCCCACCTCTGCTTTTCTACATCTGATTCTGAAATATATCCCTGTATATTTTTCCAAGTATTTCTTAATAATGATTTTATTGATTTGTAAAAACAACAGATCCTTATCTAAAGTGTGTGAACAATGTAGAAAAGCACAAAGATAGTAAAATTTAAAAACATTCAAAATTCTTCCATCTAGAACTGTCATTTATATTACTTATAATTTTAGCCACCTGTCCGTATATTCATTTAGATTGAAGTAGGTACTAGATGGTCATATAAATTACGTATTATAAGTAAAAGAAAGTGAGTTGATTTTAAAGAAATTAACTAAAGTTCAGATAAATGTGTCATACAATAAACAGTACTTCCTTAAAGATACAGCTAAGGCGAAGAAAGAGACAATAAAACATCAAGAGGTTAGAATCATCTGCCTTTTTAAAAAGCATATTATGGGGGCAAACAAATCCCTATATTAGATAAGAAAAAAACACACTGGGACACTGTAGAATACTTCTTTCAGACAGATCAAGTACATTAAAAATAAAGGGAGAGAGAAGAATTTTAAGAAACCAGCTGTGATAGGTAGAATTCAAAGACGACCTGTGAGGACCCTGCCCCCTGGAACCCACAACAGCTCTTTTGCTATCAACCAAACACTGCTGGCTAAGGGATTTTGCAGATGTAATCAAAGTCCCAAATCAGCTGACATTAGGGAAGGGTGATTATCTTCAAAGAGTGGGACTTAATCAGGTAAGCCCTTCAAACAGACCAGGCAGTTCCTTGTGAAAGTGATTCAAAGTGTGAGTGAAAAGACTCAACTACAGAGAGCTTGTCTGCTGCTAGCTTTGAAAATGGCTTTCAAGATGTGACCTTGAAGAGCCAACAGCAGGCTCTGGCTGACAGCCAGCAGGCAAGTGAGGACTTTAGTGCTACCACCTCAAGACAGTGAATTCTGCCACAACCACATGAGCCTGGAGGAGACTTCGAGCTCCAGACCAGATGTGGTCCAGCTGACACTTTAATTTCAGCCTTGTGAGACACTAAGGAGAAAACCCAGGTAACCTGTGCCTGGACTCCTGACCCCCAGAGACCATGACGTAATAAATCTGTGTTGTTTTGACCTACTATGTTTGTGATACTTTGTTATACAATGAAAGAAAACTAATAAAGCAACTGCCAAGCAGGCAGGCAGACTGCATCTTCTGACCTCCTCTAAACCCCCAAGAGGAAAACAGAATCACCATCAGTAGCCCAAGGCCTATTCCTGTGAGGCCAGACATGCTGCCTCCCTCCAGCCCTTTCACCAACTGTTCCTCCTGCAGCACCCACCACCTCTCTGCTAGGTTTGATAACTTCCTGCAATGGCCACACAGAACTCACGGATTATGGGGTTTATTAAAAGCACCAGACTACAATTCAAGTTCAGAAATGCACTCAGTCTCTTGCAGCCAGCCGTCTCACTCAGCAGCTGACAGTCTCAGGAGCACATCACTCTCTCAGTAATGTGTGTCTCTTGTCTCTCTCTCTCTCTCAGTAGTACATGTCACTCGCTTCTCTGTCTCAGCAAGTGCATGTCTCTCAGCAGCACGTTTCTCTCAGCAGCACTTCTTTCTCAGCCAGCAGTCAGAGAGACTCCTTCTGCCTCTAGGAGGGCTCCTTTTGAGCCTGACACAGTGGCCCAAACCAACCAATCTCAACATCAGAATTCTGTACACCTGAGAGGGTGAGAACGTCCCAGAAGACTGCTTTGTGCCACTTGCAACAGAAATACCCCAGGTGGAAAACTTTAACAATCAGGAGCTACTCAGTTGCTCATGGCAAATTCCACCATGGAGTTTACAAAGGTTTATGGCTAGAAAAGCCATACCAGGTAATTTACTACACCATAACAACTAATAAGCCAGATATAATAGACAGATGAAGAATCTGATACCCTGATCTCTTAAGACTATGGAAGATTTACAATCAATCATGTACTCAGGCATCTAAACATCATTCAGTTAGAAGAGTAGGGATTTTACTTTTTCAGTTAGAAGAGTAGAGTAGAGTAGGCTACATTCTTTGATCAGAACTATCCAGTAAACGAGAAATCATAAGTAAAAGGCTGATCGAACAACCACAGCAATCAAAAGTTTTACTGTGAGAAATAAATAGGGCAGAGAAAATCTTCTGTTAAACAAAATGTTATACAAAACTCTAAGAAGGGTAGATATTCAGATACCTCCCTTCACCTATAATGACTCCTGGGTACTTTCACAAGATTGTCCAAAATTTATACATGAGACAAGATTTGAGAAATTCCATATGCAACTGAGTCACCTGACCCATTCATGGCCATTTTGCAGTATTCTAAACACTCCTTAATAATCAGCATCATTTCTCACGTGAACTAGTAGCTAATCAAAGGGGAATGAAAGCAAACTACTGTTATAAAATTACTGAGAATCCCAAAGAAACTTTAAGTGGATGTTATCTATGGATATCTATCATATTAGATATTAAAAAATTATTCCATTTTAAATCAAAATAACAAGTATTACATGTTAATATAAATAACATGCTTAGGAAAACTAACTGTATTTTAGACCAAAAATACCGTGAGAAGAATGACAATGTTTCATATATTTTGAAAATCTCTTCAATGTATGTTTGGCTTAACCAAAAGGAGCTATAGTCTCCTATCAGCTTGTATGTTAAATCTCTTGCAAAATCGTATGTCATGTAGCCTCTAGAGAGCTTCATTTTCTACGAGAGTAAAAAAGGCAACTATCTTAACTTGGTATCATTGTGAAAATCGTCTTGACCTCCTGAACCCCCTGAAAGGACTTTTGGGGCTCCGGGGGACCCCAACCACATTCTGAGATCCTCTGGATTATATTTTGAATGATATTAATGGTAACTGTTGTGTTAGATATCTTGCCTCGGATTAATGTTAGCAGATGTGATCTTGCATGTCAACAAACTGAAGGGGGGGGGGAACCAAGAGATGTGAACAAACTGAAAAAAATGCATGATTTATTAAAATTTCTACTCCAAAATCTGAATATGACAACTTTGCAACTGGTAAAAAGTCAACACATCAAAGTTATTTTACCATGTATTTACTGAAGGATTTCCCAGTATCATGGGTACCAAATAAAGGCAGGTCAAAGGTAAGAACTAAAGGATTGTTAAGTCACCAGGATCTATTCAAAGCAGTTAAACCCTGTGCACTTAAATGTATAAAGATACTATTTAAGCTGATAGAGAGAAGGTGGGATGTTTTGCACAAAATCTCTTTGATATGTAATACCACATAATGTCCACAGTTTAGGTGTATGGCACTGGTTTTAAAAATACAGAAAGAATGATCTGTAATAATGTCAAGAACAAAACCTGCAGCAGTGCAGAACAACTCATGACTCACAGAAGGGGAACAAAAACATACCTATGTGCCTTCTTGTCATTTCTACTGTAGCATTTCGGTTGACATTGGAGAGTAAACCTAAGCAGAACCTCTCGGAATTGGATGGGTCTGTAAAGCCGTCTACTGTGAGTGAGGGCTGTGAGGCATGGAAGGTCTCTCCAACCCTCTGGTTTAATTCATAATATGCTATTGAACACCAAAATGCAGGTTCTGAGTAAGTAACTGGCTGCAGATCTGAAAACAAAACACAGAAGCAAAATTTGCTGTGTAAACAAATCAAGCGAAAAACAGACAAAATATCATCACCTTTACATACTCTCTGCCAGCCTATAGTGACAATAGCACATGAACCTAACTGAGTATCTACATCATGGACCCCAGCATCCACAGATCATACCACATTTTTGACTTTTCAAATTTCCCCCCATCTCACTAAGTCATCCTTCTCCAAACATCTTTTCTAGATTTGATGTTGGATTACTTGTTCTACTAGTACTTTTAGTCTAGATCCTTTTTGGATATAAAACCACCAAAGGTAAGGTAAATGAGCTGACTACTTGCCTCACTCTGTACATTTCTAAATTGCATAATGAATCTATTTTTCCACAGGATAAAGTGGAATAAAGATGGAGCAAAGAATTTAGTTTAAAAGAAACTACTAAAAGCCACAAGAATAAAAATTCTGTATCATAATGAAAGGATACAAAATATGACACATTTTTGACATCTGTATACTTTAACATGAGATTCTCAGTTAGTTACCTCAGTTACAAAAATAGAAAGCCCACACATACAAAAGAACCAGAAAATAAAAAAACACAGACAGCTTGCAGGTAGAAACAGAAAACAGAATGAAGAGTTTACATACAACAGGGGAAAACATGGATATAATTTCTGTAATTATTGACTAAATTGCATTTAAGGAATATCAAAAAAGAAAAAAATCGACCATTTTGTAAAATAAATTCCAAAAATGGTGAAACAGTGAGTTAATATGAGGGCCGAGAATAAACGTGTTGTTGTTAGGTGTTGCTGAGTCAACTCTGACTCACAGCAACCCTATGTACAACAGAACGAAATGAGAGGAATGTATACATACACACATACAGGTATGTACACAGATGCATTCATTCACACTGACACAAGCATACTTACCATATGTTCTGGTTACCTACTGCTGCTCTGACAAGAATATACCACAAATAGGATGACCTTAATAGACAGGCGTTTATTCTCTTACAGTTTAGAGGCTTTAAAGTCCAAGTTCAAAGTGCCAGCCTCTACAGGCTGGGTGAAAGCCCCTCAACCTTGGGGTCCAACTCTGCCTCCTGCTCCCGGCCCACTGAAGCTAGAGGTGTTTCTTCACTCAGACAGCTGCTGGCTGCTGAGGCTGACAAGCCCAAGGTTGACAAGTAAAAAGGCACAGTCCTGATGTTACCAAACCACATGGCAGGCCATTAATTTAAGTCCATTGTAAGTCCCAAGGTTGGCAGAGCATGGCAGGCTGCTGAACAACGACAAGGCTACATGAGGGTCCAAGCGTGCCATGGGTAGAGACCATTCCCCAAGGCTTCTGCTTATATACAGGAAGCAGACCACATTCCCTAAGGCAGCTACTCAGCTGCTCACAGTAGATTCCACCATGGAGTTGATTACCAGTCTCATCATGGGGAATACTACATCCAGCTGCCCAGCCACTCAACCAGGCTCAGCCAAGTTGACACATAAACTGAACTACCACACCACATCACATAAATACACACTTCTGTGATGTGCCTGTACATGTACATACAGCTCAACACTTACACACATACCTCCTACATTAATAACTGCCATTACAAAAATGTATCCCAAGATGAATATACCCATACAAATATAGGTAAAAAATTGTCCATGAATAAAGAAGAATAGGATTTTCACGAATGAAAATACTACTAGCTTCTTACTCCCATACATGCCAGTAGAAAAGTTTCAGTAATACTGTCATCATCAATATCTTTCTGAAAAAGCATTAATTTAAACCATTTGAGTAATTATTTGATTACTCATTGAAATCCCTCTTATATATTAGAAAATAATCACCAGAAAGGGTATTTTATTAAGTGAAGGACACAGTAGGAAAAACAGTCAGAGTAAAGTGTTTGTGCGCAACTTACCCAGGCTATGATTAACGGGGGAAAGAGCAGTGGGAGACAGTTCCGCTGGAGATCCTGAAACAGAAGGATTCAATTTCACAATAGATTTTGAAGTATTTCCAGAATTTCTAACCAAATAATGAAACTGGTTGTATTTGGTTGTAATTGATTGTAATTAGTTAGCACGATGAATAAACAGATAATCTAAATCCTAAGAATTCCAAATAAACAGCTGCTTTATTTTAGTTTAATTTTCAAGGCTTCAATATATAAGAGGTGCAGAAGGGAATAAACAGCCCTGGCTTCTAGCCATCCAGTGCCCCTCCCCAAAGGCATCTACTGTTGCCAGTTTGTTGTGTACTTTTCCAGAAATATTCCATGAATCATACAAGAAACACGTTTCTGTTCTGTGCCCCTTTGTTATATAGAAAAGGCAACACGGTTCCGCAGTCTGCTTTTCCATCACTTACTCATCAGACTGTTTATTCTGGTATGTTTCTTGTTTATTTTACAACTGCCTATCATCACAGCATGGTGCATTATGACTCCAAACTATAAGATATCCAGGCTCCTTCTGATCTTCTGGTGTAAGAAAAAAGACAGTGCTGACTGACCTTGCAAATTTCACAAACTTTCAAGTACTCATGCAGGGTAAATTCCTAAAAGAAGATCTGCCAGGTTAAAGGGTTTGTGCATCTGCAACTCATGTTGTTGTTGTTAGGTGCCATCGAGTCGTTTCCGACTCATAGCGACCCCATGCACAGCAGAATGAAACACTGCCCGATCCAGCGCCGGCTCCATGATCCCTGCTATACTTGAGCCCATCATCGCAGCCACCGTTTCAAT